TTACTGACATTACTACAAAATCATAGAGTTGTTTTGCATTGAAGGAACATTGGAAGGTCTCCAACCTCATGTTCAAAACTGGGTCAACAATAAACTCAGATCTGGTTTCTTGGGGTCTCACCCTAGCAGGTGTTGAAAACCTGCAGGCCAGAGCCCCCCGGTGCCTCTGGCCATCACCTACTGCTCCTGGCCCTGAGGAGCGTGCTCCATTCCACACCATTCCTGCTCTGCCCATGCATCAGGCGGAAAAGAAGGACCTGGGATTGTCTGGTGGGGCTGTTTCTGTTCTCGCTGCGTGGTTCAGAGTGAATGAATGTCTCTCCTGGTTTCCTGCTAGGGTGACATCTGCATGCATCTGACCAATTATGCAATCAACAAGCACAATGAGAACTTCGTCCAGGATGACACAATGGGCAGCAAGAGGTACTGGCATGTCCAGGCACCACAGGAACGCTGTGGGACTCTGGTTTACCTCATCTTTCCTGGGGTGGCACAGCTCAGCCCTTACCACCTCCTGTCCCCATGCAGGAAGCTGTCCACCCTGAACACCTGGATGGCAGAGCACAGCTACGACACAACAAAGCTCTGGGCAGATATTGATGACATTGTCATAAAGACACTGATTTCGGCTCACCCTGTGGTGAAGCACCACTACCAGAGCTGCTTCCCCAACCACGCTGCCGGCTGCGCCTGCTTCGAGATCCTGGGCTTTGACATTTTGCTGGACAGAAGGCTGAAGCCGTGGCTGCTGGAGGTGAGGGAGGAGCAGACAACTAAAACCTGGGAAAGGCCTCAGGACAGGGGGGCTGGGATGAACAGGACTCGTTTGATTCAAAAGGGCCACCTCACTCACAGAATTAACCAGGCTGTGAAGCCAAGCACCCTGCTGTGAGTGGGATCCAAGACAACCAGTTTCCTGCACACCCTCTAACAGCAGGGAATTTCCCAAACCTTAGGACCCCTTTTCCTGTAAGAGCACCCTGAGTTTGTGACAGCTGCCCTCTACTTGCAGCCTGTGGGATGGGATCTGGGTGACCTGTGGCACAGTAGGCACCACACTGCAGGGACAGAGTGCTGTGTGTGGCCTCCTGCTTCCTCTCACTGACATAGAGAAGAGCATCCATGGATAGTGTGGGGGGCGGCCGGGGCCATGGGCTGGGAGCTGGGGTGCCAGGTTAGGTTACTTGCTTGTCTCGGCAGGTGAACCACTCTCCCAGCTTCTGCACAGACTCTCAGCTAGACCGTGAGGTGAAGGATGCCCTTCTGTGTGACACCTTCAACCTGATCAATGTGCACGCCTGTGACAGAAGGAAGGTGCTGGAGGAAGACAAGCGGCGGGTAAAGGAGCGGCTCCTTCAGGCCAACCAGACCCAGACTCTCCGTGAGTCCAGGTATTGCTGTTTGCCTCAGTGCTACATGTCTCCAGTGAGGAGAGACAGGGCATGGCAGAGCAGGATAATGCCAGGGCTGGCAGGTGAAGCTCCCAGACCCCATGGCACTGTGCAGCCTCTGAGCTCTCCCAAGCCATCTGCATCCTGGAAGGAAGAGCTAAGGGCTCCTCTCTGGGTACCAAGACATTTGTGACACCTAGTGCTCTGTGCCCCAACAGAGACATCCCCATTGAGCAGCACCTGCTTGTCACATCCCTCGGTGCAGACAGGCAGGGCCAGCGTCCCTGGGCTGGCAGGGATGCTTACAGGAGGGACCACAGCCCTGCCTCAGGGACCAGGAGCAGCTGAGGGCATGGACCCTTCTCCAGAGCAGGATTCCTTTCCAGGGTTGAGGGTTTCCCCCCTCCTCTGCATGCCCTTTCACAAGGCCAGTGTTTAGTGAGCCTGCTGCCTTGCAGGCAAAGCGGGGACTCTCTCCAGCTGCTGTTTCCATATGGAGTCCTGGGATAACCCTGGGAAACACCAAGCCAGTCAGCCCTGTGCTCTGCCTGCCCCGGAGCTCCCTGTCGCAGCTCCCTGTCCTCCCTCCGGCTGCAGGCGCAGGGAGCAGGAGAGCAGCCAGGCTGCCTGGCTGGCACAGGCCGAGACCTACGAGAATGAGCACCTGGGCGGCTTCCGGCGCATCTACCCAGCACCTGGCACAGAGAAATACGAGCCCTTCTTCCACCAGGGCAGGTCCCTCTTCCAGGAAACAGCAGCCTCCAAGGCACGAGAGGAGCATGCCAGGTACACTGCTCCTGTGGAAACCCTCTCCTCGCGGGGGGTATGGACACCACTCGCTCCTGAGCCCTCCTGGGGAGCCACTCTGCTGCTTGGCAGGTGTTAGCAAGTGGGGAGAGCAGGAGGGGAAGGGAAGGAGCCTGCACATGCTGTGGCACCACAGCAAAGCAGTTCCTTTTGGATGGACCCCAGAGAGGCAAGGGCAGTGCTCCATTGACTTTTGGACCCTGGAGAAACCATGTCCCAAATGTCCCACTCCCTTCTGTTAGGCACAGCCTAATCTAAGCCCATTTCTCTTTTTAAAAGTCTCTTTACAAGCATCCCTGGCCTATCTCTTGGCACACTTCTATTTATGGGCTGTTTAGACAGAACTTTGTAAATGTCTTCAGGTCAAAGGCTGCCCTACAGCCTTTCACTGTTGTGGCTCTGACTGAGCAGTGAGCGACTCTGCTGTTCTGTGGCAGGCAGCAGCTGGAGGAGATTCGCCTGAAAAATGAAAAGCTGGAAGCTGCCACCAGGAAGAAGAAAACAGAGAGGATCCAGAATAAAAGCACAGCTTCTACAACCCACCTCACTCACAGAAGCACCAAGACATGGGATAGAAAGGTATCTCGGTGTCAGCATTGTCCATGGGCTCTCCAAGGCAGTGACATGGCTCTGGGAGCCATGCTGGGCCATGGATGCTCCCATGGAGCAGAAATTCCAGGTTTGACTCCCTGTATGAAGTCCAGAAAATTGACAGCTTGTGGTGGGCAGCACTTGCAAGCACCAGTGTTGTCCTTTCCTGTTGTGGCTCCCACTAGGATCTCCATCCCACCACTAGGATCTCCATCCCACCCCAAGTCTGTGACTCTCCCCAGGGTTGGAGCAGCCCATGGCTTTGTCTCACCTGTGCGTTATCCCAGGTTCAGCTTTGCTGTAGCTCAGGTGTTTCTCTGCCGAGGTGCAGCACGTGCAGTATGACTCCATGCAGCCCCAGGACATTGTGGAACACGAGGAGAAGAGGAGAGTGAATGCTCTGCTGCAGCGTGAGAAGCTGATCCGAGACCTGGGCATCACCAACCAGCTCTCTCGGCTGCTCCCCACAGCTGACAGCCAGGGATCCTGCACCCTCCGGAGCCAGGTAACAGGGTCACCCAGATCCACCCACAGCCAAGGCAGGAGGATGGTGAGGAGTGAATAGGGCACTGAGTGTGTGGGGCAGGATGGGGGTCCTGGCTCCACTGCCGGCAGATCAGCTGCTGTGCTCCTGGGATGATGTGAGTCTGGGATGGTTGTGGGGGTGTACCTGGGGACAGCGTGCAGGGGGATGCTTTAGTGAACACCTGTACACAACTAGAAAAGACTTTTTCTTCCCATCTCCTGCCAAGGCCTCCAGAGCTAAGCCATGGCCACTTGCCTTCCCTCCTTCCAGCTGCAGTTTCCATGGGATGCCCTTGGGAACCAGGACACCCATGACTTAATGATGGTCATCTCAGTCCTGGGAGGTCCAGCTCATGCCTCGGGACACTGGGTCAGAGCCGAGGCCCTGCAGCCGGACACGCTGGGCCCAGCCCCCGATGACGTGGACACCCTCTGTGTTCGAGGCCGGAGTGTCCCATACCACACGCGGCATGAGGGCTCCCGGGTGCTGGGCGGGGGCTGGCTGCGGGGCCGGGCAGCACGGGCAGCCGTCACCCACCCCGAGGGGCTGCTGCTGAGAGACCAGCAGCTCCCTGGTGCCAGAACACAGGCTGAAGGCTGTGAGTACACATCACCTTCCCATGGATACTCCTGGCCTTACCAGGGTGGGAGGAGTGGGCAGGCTGGATGAAGCTCAGGGTGCCAGGGGTGCTGGGACCCTGCGGAGGGGCTGCTGTGCTCTGCTCAGGGCACTGATGACCGCTGGAAGTCTCTGCTGGAGGCCATCAGCATCCCGTTCACAGGGGCAGGGATGAATGCGGGTGGATTCCCAGAACCAAGGGTTGATGTATGGGGAGGAGGGAGTGTGAGAAGCCTCGATGTATGGGAGAGAGTGAGTTGGAAGCACAGCAGATGGGACAGTCGAAGGGGTGCGTTAGTTGCAGTGGGTACGGAGGGGACATGGTGACATAGCACGGCCCCCAACAGGCCCATGCTGCTCCCTGCCCACAGTCCCACCACTCCTCACCCAACCCTGCTCTGCTTCCCAGCATCAGCTCCACCCACTTGGCAGCCATAAGGCTGGGGCAGCAGGGCCAGAGGGGGAGCTGCCAGGGCCAAGCCCCACCGGGGAGGGCAGTGGGGACTGCTGACCCACAGAGCTGCCCGGTCTGCAGACAGACCCACATCTGTCTGTGCTGTTCCAGGTGATGCTGCCAGCCCGTCGTCCTCCCATGCAGGCAGCTGTCCCCCAGCATCCCCAGCCAGCCCGGGGGAGGTCAAAGACGATGGCATCTTCAGCTGTGCCGTGGTCCAGGAGCTCCCCGCCACCTCCGCCGCCGCTCATGTGCAGCACACACGTGCCTCACACCATGGCAGAGCCTCACTGTGCCAGTGTGTCACACACTTTCAGCATGAAAGGCACAAGTAACGTGGCCGAAGGCTCAGCCTTCCTCTTGTGGGTGCTCACTGGACAACCAGGGCTGCTGGATAGGTTGGCTATCCCCATCAGCCCCGGGGCCGGCTGTGGAGCCCCCTGACCGGAGCCTGGGCCCCGCCCGGGTCTGGCCACGCGCCCCGGGCAGCTTCACCTCTGCCTGTGCCCGCACTCCTGGCTGTGCCCCCGCGGCTGCAGCCGGGCCCGCCACAGGCCACCTCGCTGTGGATCCCGCCGGGGCCGCCCCCCGCCGGCCCCGCCCGTTCCCGGTCATGGCGGCGCTGCTGCGGCCCGGGCTGCGGGCGGCCGCGCTCCTCGCCAGGACCCCGCGGCGGGCGGCGGCGGCGTGGCCCGGGGACCCGGAGCCGCCGGACCCGGCGCTGGAGGAGGCGGAGAGGTGCGGGGCGGCTGGGCTGGGGCCGGGCCGGGCCGGGCCGGGCCGGGCCGGGCCGGGCGCTCATGTGTGTCCCCCGCAGGGGGCGGCGGCGGCGGGTGGCGGCGCGGATGGAGCGGCTGCGGCGGGAGCTGGGCGGGGGGCGCGGAGCCCCCGAGCGCGTCCTGACCTGGCAGGCGATGGAGCAGATGCGGTGAGCGCGGGGATGGGAGGTTCGCGCCGCTCCCGGCGACCGCCCCGGTGACCGTGCCCGTGCCCGCAGGTTCCTGCGGCAGGAGCTGCCCGAAGAGTGGCCGCTGGAGCGCCTGGCCCAGGGGTTCGGCGTCAGCACCGACGTGGTGCGGCGAGTGCTGCGGAGCCGCGGCTGCCCTTCGCCGCGCCGCCGCCTGCGGCAGGACCGGCGGGCGCTGAGCGCCGTCGCGGCGGCACCGGGGCACGAGCGCGAGGTGCGCGCCCCCGACGGGACGCTGCTGTACCGACTGCCGCGGGGCTGGGGCGGGCCGGGGCCCGGCGCGCAATAAACGGTGTTGGGACCCGCCTCCGATCGCGCCGCTTCCGCCGCGCCGGGCACGGGCTGCGAGGTGGCGGGGACGGGATTCGAGCTGTCGGGCATGGGCTCCGAGCTGCCGGGGATGGGCTCGGACGTGGCGCGGCTGCTGGAGGCCGCGGACTTCGCGGCCAGGAAGCACAAGGAGCAGCGGCGGAAGGACCCCGAAGGCACCCCCTTCATCAACCACCCCATTGGTGCGGAACCCCCCGGCACCGCGTCCTGCTCCGGAGGGATCCTCGGGACCCCTCCTGCCCCTGAGTGCCGCCCGCCCACGGGAGCCCCTCACCCCGGCCCGGGGAAAGCCGTGTCCCCTCTCCCATCCCACGTCCCTGAGCCCCTGCCCTAGCCACGTGTTCTGCTGTGGGTGCTCCCCCCACGCTGTTGCCCTGCAGTGGATGGTGCCCATGGGAGCTGATGAGGGACCCTTGGGGGCAGTGCCAGCCTCCGGGAGTTGCCTGCTTGCCCAGCCTAAGGATTCACCCCTCAGGATGTGCCCAGGGTGGATCTTGGGGACCCCTCCTTGCCCTCTGTGCAGTGCAGCCCCTGTGTAACCCAGGGAGCGGCTGTCCTGGCCCAGAGCTGCCCTTTTTCCCCCTCGTGCCCGTTCCCAGCTCTCTGCTCTGGCCGCAGGCGTCGCCAGGATCCTGGCGCACGAGGCTGGTGTGACGGACATCGTGGTGCTGCAGGTAAGGCCATGCCCTCCCCTGCCTGCTACTGCTGCAGCAGGGCCTGGCCTGGACCCTCTGGCCCCCTTGACCCTCCCTGGCCCCAGGCCGCCCTCCTGCATGACACGGTGGAGGACACAGACACCACGCTGTCTGAGATCGAGGAGCGGTTTGGGGTGGATGTGAGGCGTGTGGTGGAGGAGGTGACAGACGACAAGATGCTGCCCAAGATGGAGCGCAAGCGGCTGCAAGTGGAGCGGGCGCCCGGCTGCAGCCCCCGTGCCAAGCTGGTCCAGCTGGCAGACAAGCTGTACAACCTGCGGGACCTGAACCGCTGCACCCCCCAAGGTACTGTGGCAGGGCCCGGCCATGCCCAGGGCAGCTCCTCTGCCTGGGGCAGGGCTGGTTCTGCGCCCTGCATAGAGGGACAGACCTGCCGAGGTCACCCCGGACCTGGGGTGGCTCCAGCCAGGGGCAGTGTGGGGAGCATCTGTCCTGTTGTGTGCCGGTGTCCCGGTGTGGGTGTGTGTGTAGTGATGTCTCAGTCTGTCCCGGGGTGTGTGTGTGGTGGTCATAGAATCACAGAATCAGCCGGGTTGGAAAGGATCTCTGAGATCAAGTCCAACCCTTGATCCACTACTGCTGTGGTTACTAGACCATGGCACTAAGTGCCACATCCAGTCTCATCCTAAAAACCTCCAGGGATGGAGAATCCACTACTTCCCTGGGCAGCCCATTCCAATGGCTGAGCACCCTCTCTGGAAAGAGTTTCTTCCTAATATCCAACCTAAACCTCCCCTGGCAGAGCTTAAGACCGAGCCCTCTTGTCTTACTGATAGCTGCCTGGGAGAAGAGACCAACCCCCACCTGGCTACAACCTCCTTTCAGGTAGTTGTAAAGAATGATGAGGTCTCCCCCAAGCCTTCTCTTCTCCAGGCTGAACAGCCCCAGCTCCCTCAGCCTCTCCTCACAGGACTTGTGCTCCAGTCCCTTCCCCAGGCTTGTTGCTCTTCTCTGGACCTGCTCCAGCCCCTCAATGTCCTTCCTGAACTGAGGGGCCCAGAGCTGGACACAGCACTCAAGGTGTGGCCTCACCATTGAGTCCAGGGCAAGAATCACTTCCCTGGACCTGTTGGCCACACTGTCCTTGATACAGGCCAGGATGCCATTGGCCTTCTTGGCCACCTGGGCACACTGCTGGCTCAATGTCTTGGTCTGTCCTAGTGTGTGTGTGGTGATGTCTCGGTTTGTCCCGATGTGTCTGTGGGGTGGTGATGTCTGGGTCTGTCCCGGTACCGGGGTCAGGGCCAGGGCAGCTCCAGCCGGAAGTGACGTCGTGTTCCCGCAGGGTGGTCGGCGGAGCGCGTGCAGGAGTACTTCCGGTGGGCGGCACTCGTGGTGTCCGGGCTGCGCGGGACCAGCGCGCCCCTGGAGGGGGCGCTGCAGCGCCTGTTCGAGGAGCGCGGCGTGGCCACATGACTGCGGGGCGGCCAATAAACGTGCGTGCAGCTCAGCGTCCTGCGTTGCTATGGTGTCGCTCGCTTCCGCCGCTGCGGGTTCCGGCCGCGCCGCGGCCGCGCTCGGGCGTTCCGGGTGCCGCGCCGGCCCCCGCCATGGCCTTCGCCGGGCGCCGCGACGCGCCCGAGCCGCCCGACTTCGGGATCCTGAAGCGGCTGGCGCGGGACCAGCTCGTCTACCTGCTGGAGCAGGTCCGAGGCCGCGGGACAGGGGTGCCGCGGCGGGGTGGCGGGGCTGGGGTGGGCTCGGGCGGGGCCGGGCCCCGGGGCGGGCGGTGGGTCCCAGCCCACGCGCACCCTGCCTGCAGCTCCCCGGGAAGAAGGACCTTTTCATCGAGGCCGACCTGATGAGCCCCTTGGACCGCATCGCCAACGTGTCCATCCTGAAGGTACCGCAGGGCCCGGCGGGCGGCCCACCTCCCCCCCGGCCGCGCTGAGCCCGCCGTGTCCCCGCAGCAGCACGACGTGGACAAGCTGTACAAGGTGGAGACCCGGCCGGCCCCCGGCGCCAGCGACCAGTGAGTGCCCGGCCCGGCCCCGGCGGCAGCTGCACAGCCCAGGCACGGCTGTGGACGGGAAGGGCCCAGCGCAGGCAGGGCCAGGTACGAGGAGCCCTCGCTCCCCTCTGTAATGCAGGTTCTGCTTCCTGGTGCGGCCGCGGGTCAGGACGATGAGGTTCATCGCTGGTGAGTGCGGCACCGTGGGCAGGTGTCCCTCGCCGGGTTCCGGTGCTCTGGGCCACCGCTGGGAGCGGGCCTGAGAGGGGCTCCAGACGAGCCCCGTGCCCGAGGCCTCACTTGTGCCCGGGGCGTTGGGGCCCCGTGAGCTGTGGGGCCCCGGGCCGAGTGGGGGCAGCTGTGCAGGGGCTGTACGGGGTGTCCACAGATATTGTCAATGCTGACAAGATGTCGGGGAGAAGCAGGAAGTACAAGATCATCTTCAGCCCCCAGAAGGTCAGTGCGACCCCACTGCCCGTTCCCACGTCATACTGTGCCTGCCCAGCCTTTGCACCTCCCACCCCATCTGTTGGCACCAAAAGTTGTGTGTCGCTAACCCAGGAATGTTTAACTAAAATCGAGTGTTATGATGCCTGGGAAGGAGCTGGGCCGCTCCAGAGCTTCTCCCGCTCAGAGCCTGCCTGGTCCTGAGGGTCTCCCCTTCTCTTCCAGTTCTATGCTTGTGAGATGGTGCTGGAGGAAGAGGGGGTCTTTGGTGGTGAGTGGAGCTGTGATGCTGGCTCAGGGTAGCTCTGACACCACAGGGTTCCAGTTGAATCCCAGTATAGGGATCCCTGTGTGGGCAGGGAACACGAGTTGCTTCGAGGGTAGCTGCCAGTCTGTGGGCAGGCATGTGCCCACCACAGCACCAGCCCCTCTCCTCTGCCTGCAGGGAAGAGAGAGGGCCCTGCCACCCATCCTGTCTCTCTGACACCCTGTTTTGGGGTTGTCACGATCCCTGGGGCTGTTCATGCACAGGGATGGGTAATGGTCCCCTCTCCCTGCCCCAAACCCAGATGTCACCTGTGATGAATGGTCTTTCTACCTGCTGCCCCTGGACGAAGATATCATCAGCATGGAGCTGCCTGAGTTCTTCCGCGACTATTTCCTGGTCAGTGGGACATGGTGGGTGGCAGCCTATCGTGTCCCCTGTGTCTTGGGACAAGGGCAGCATTTGGAGAGCAGGTGTGATGTCCTGCTTGGCCCCTCAGCCACACCATGGGTCCTGTCTGCTCCCCAGGGGTGGCTTTTGGGGGTAGTGGCTGCTCCCACCCTGTGCTGACCCCTCTGCTCCCTTTGGAGCAGCTTTGGGGCATCCCAGCATGTTCCTGTGTGTATTCCTGTGCATGTACCTCCTGGAAGCGCCCAGCCCAGGGCCCATTCTGTCCCCAGCCCAGTCCCCTGGCAGTCATTCCCAGCCAGCTGCCCGCATACACTCCCTGGTCCCACAGGAGGGGGATCACCGCTGGATCAACCCCGTTGCCAGAGCCCTGCAGTTGCTGAACTCCCTGTACGGCCCTTTTGGGAAGGCCTATGGCATCGGCCGCTGTGCCAAGGTACAGCCGGCACCGGGAGTCCCTCAGGTCCCCTTCAGCTGTGTGGCAGCACGTCACCACAGAGCTGGCACACCTCCGGACGGCGCTGGGGGCTCGGCAGGCTTTTGGGGGTCCCATGTGCCAAGGGTGGGCAGGAGAGCAGCGGCTCCTGCTCACTGGGGTGTGTCCTGGAGGGGGGAACGCTTGTGCCTGTCCTCCATCATGAGCCTCAGTGTCCCCCGTGGGACACCCTGGCCGTGCCTTGGCTGCACCCCTACCCTGGCACATTCTGCCCCTCACAGATGAGCCACGAGCTGTGGCGGGACCTGGAGGAGGAGAGCGAGGGTGAAGGCCAGGGCAGGAAGCCCGAGATTGGACATGTCTTCCTCATGGACAGAGGTGGGCTGGGGTGGGAGCAGCTGGTGAGGGTGGCCAGGGGGGAGCAGTTTGGGCAGCGGTGGAGGGGCAGGGAGAGCCCCCGGGAGGGCAGCCTGGCACTGGGTCTCCTTGCAGATGTGGACTACGTGACAGCGCTCTGCTCCCAGGTGGTCTATGAGGGGCTGGTGGATGACACCTTCCGTATCAAGTGCGGTGGGTGCCCGGGGACGGTGATGGGGCAGCCGGGGGCTCCGCACTCAGGACAGGGGTGGCATGGGGCTCTGCACCCCCCTGCCCAGAGTCCACGGGGTTTGTGCCCGGCACTGTCGTGCACAGGGCCGTTCCCACAGGGACAGTCCTGATGTGAGGTGCTGCTGGA